TAGTGGAGGAGCAACTCAAATCAATTTTCTATTCTTTCGACCGTGGCTCGAGACGTGCTAAATGTGCCGATTTCAACACTCGCATCAGAGAGCGCATTTAGCCAAGCAAGGCAACAACTACGAGTTACCCGCCATTCATTGGGCATCAACGCTTTGGAAATTCTATCAGAGATTTGATAAGATCGGAATGGCGAAATCAAGGGCATGCCGAGGCAGACGAAGCAGAGGACCAAGAAATTGGAGATATAATGGTTTATGTTTCCGATTCAACCAATGCCAGAAACCAAGAACCTCATGTTGACATGGAAGAACTTACAAAAATAATGCAAAGCATGTGATGTACTATTTTTTATTTTTTATAATTGTTGTAAACTTGTAATTTGCAAGTTCAAAAATAAAAAAATAAAAAAGAACTTGCAAATTAATTTGAAGTATTAAAAATATAAAATAAAAGCCTTCGAAGTTTGATCCTTACATGTTGCCTATTGGTCTTATTAATTAATTTTTTGGAGCCACTTACTTTCTAATTTCAATTTCAAATTTTTAAAATTCAAATTTCAAATTTAAAACTTTAAAGTTTAAACTTCAAAGTTTAATTCTAAGCCTTAAAAGTTTGCAAATACTTATGTATCAATAACATTGAATAAGAAAACAAAATTTAATTAAAAAAATATATACTAGCCCGGCCCGCCCGAACCCCGATGGGCCCAAAATAACCCGAAAATATCCAACCCGCCACCAGCCCGCTAACCAACCCGATCCGTTAACGGACGGGCTATTTTTTTTTGTTCAGCCCGCCCGTTAAACACCTTTAGGTATAATCCACACCATCTGCATGAATCCGGGCTTCCGGATCCGAATCGCATAAAATTCCGCGCGACCATAAAAAATGACTTAATGAATAATACTCATGGCTTTGACATGACCGTTCATCATTTTTAGGCATTTTATGACCAAAAAACTAGAATTCAGGCCAATTTTTAAAATTTTGTGTGCTCCACCACATCTACATGAATCCGAGTTACCGGATCCGAATAGCCTAAAATTTTGTGGAGACATAAAAATGACCTAATGAATAATAGTCATGGTTCTACATGACCTTTCCTCGCCTTTTTGCATTTTATGGCCAAAAAATTAGAATTCGGGTCGATTTTTAAATTTTCGTATGTGATACTCCATACCATCTTTATGAATTTGAGTTACCAGATTCGAATAGCCTTAAATTTTGCGGGGCCATAAAAATGACCTAATGAATAATAGTCATGGTTTCGACATGACCTTTTCTCATTTTTTGGCATTTTATGGCTAAAAAGTAGACTTATAATTGATTTCCAAATTTCGTGTGCTACGCCATCTGCATGAATCCAGGCTACCGGATCCAAATAGCCTAAAATTTTGTGGGGCATAAAAAATGACCTAATGAACAATAGTCATAGCTTTAGCATGACTGTTCCTCCTTTTTGTAATTTTAGGGCCAAAAAATTGGAATTCGGGCCGATTTTCAAAATTTTACACGCTATAGTCTACACCATCTACATGAATACGGGTTACCGGATTCGAATTACCTAAAATTGTACGGGGTCATAAAAAATAACCTAATTAATAATAGCCATGGCTTCGGAATGAGCGTTTCTCATTTTTTGATATTTTAGGGCCAAAAAACTAGAACTCGAGCCGATTTTCAAATCTTTATGTGCTATAGTCCACGCCATCTATCTGGATCCGGTTACCAGATTCGAGTCGCCTAAAGTTTTGCGAGGCCATAAAAATGACTTAGTGAACAGTAGTCACGGCTTCGGCATGACCGTTCCTCATTTTTAATATTTTAGGGCCAAAAAATTTAAATTATGGTCGATTTCCAAATTTTCATGTGATATAGACTACGCCATTTGTATTAATCTAGGCTACCGGATCCGAATTGTATAAAAAATTTTGGGGCCATAAAAAATGACCTAATGAATAATAGTCATGATTCGGCATGACCGCTCCTCCCTTTTTAGTATTTTAAGACCAAAAAATTGAAATTCGAGCCAATTTCTAAATTTTGTGTGCTATAATCCGCGCCATGTGCATGAAGTCGGGTCATCGGCTCCGAATCGCAAAAAATTTTACGGGCCCATAAAAAATGACCTAATGAACAATGGTCATCACCTTGCCATGACCGTTCTTCGTTTTTTGGCATTTTAGAGACAAAAAACTAGAATTTGAGCCGATTTTTAATTTTTCGTGTGCTCCATGCCATCTGCATGAATCCGAGCTACCGGATCCGACCGTCTAAAATTTTGCGGGGACATAAAAAATGGCCTAATGAAAAATATTCATGGCTTCAACATGACCGTTCCTTGTTTTTTGGTATTTTAGGGTCAAAAAATTAGAATTCGGGCCAATTTCCAAATTTTCATATGCTATAGTCCATGTCATGTGCATGATTTTGGGCAACCGTCTTTGAATCCCTTAAAATTTTGCGGGCCCATCGGAAACGACCTAATGAACAATCGTCATCAAGTCGCCATGATTATTCCTCATTTTTTGGCGTTTTAGAGCCGTAAAACATGAAATGAGGATGATTTCCAGATTTTCATGTGTTATAGTCCTTGCCATCTTTATGAATTCAAACAACCGGTTCTGAATCGCCTAAAATTTTGTAGCCTCATAAAAACGACCTAATAAACAATAGTCATCACTTTGCTATAACCATTACTCGTACATAGAGCTTTAGGGCATAAAACAGGAATTCATGACAATCTCCATATTTTCATGTGCTATAGTCTACGCCATTTGGATGAATTCGGGCGCCGCTCTGAATCGCCTAAAATTTTGTGGGCCCATAAAAAATTACCTAATGAGCGATAATAATTACTTTGCCATGATCGTTCCTTGTTGTTCGATGTATTAGGGCCATAAAATAAGACTTTAGGACTATTTCTAGATTTCGTGTGCTATAGTCCACGCCATTTCTTTGAATTCGGGCGAACGTATCCGAGTTGCTTAATATTTTGCATGCCCATCAGAAATGACATAATGAACAATAGTCATCGCTTCTCCAAGACCGTTCCTCGTTTTTGCCATTTTATGGCAAAATAGAAATTTAGGACGATTTCAAGATTTTCGTGTGCTAGTCCACTCCATCTGTATAAATTCGGGCGACCGGCTCCGAATGGCCTAAAATTTTGCGGGTCCTTCATAAACGACATAATAAATAATAATCATCACTTCGCCATGACCGTTCCTCATTTTTTAGCGTTTTAGGGCTATAAAATAGGAATTCAAGACGATTTCTAGATTTCTGTGTCTGCATGAATTCGGGCGACCAACTCCGAATCGCCTAAGATTTTGCGGGCCTAACATAAACGACCTAATAAACAATAGCCATTACTTCGCCACGATCGTTCTTCATTTGTTGGCGTTTTAAGGCCATAAAACAGAAATTCAAGGCGATTTCAAGATTTTCGTGTGCTACGGTCTACTTCGTCAATATGAATTCAAGCGACCGGCTTCGAATCACCCAAAAATTTGCGGACCCATCAGAAATGACCTAATGAATAATAGTGATTGCTTCGCCATAACCGTTCCTTATTTTTTGACGTTTTAGGCCCATTAAACAAAAATCTCTCAAATCGTAAATGTCGGAGCCATCCCTAATTACTACTAACAAAGAATCAACCTCAACTCCACCAATTGTTGCCACCACCACACGAATCGGCTGTAAACAACTCTAACAACTACAGTGCAAGACAACTTTATCATTAACGCCTTCATAATTTATGGTTTGATATATAATCCTCATAAGATTTGTAGAAAAACAAAAAAATAAATGGTGATGATGATGGCCAGGAAAACTTGAACGAGAAAGAGAACAAAATTAAAAGAAGTAGATGATAAGAGAGAGGGGGAGAGTGGGTAGGAAAAGGGACGGAAAAACTAAGGTAATTAACTGGGAGCTTTCTTTTCTTTTTAATAATTTGATCCTTCCATTTTAATTTATTTTCCCTTGTTTTAGTATTTTTTTAATCATCAAATGCACGCTCCTTGTGTGCGTGATAGACACGCATTTTCGCCACAACAGCATATTGATCGCCACATGTGCATGGTCAACAGTCAAAGGGATTTATTAATTTTACAAATATATGAGTTGAAATATTTAAATAGAAAAAGTGTAAGTTTGTTTATCGGAATGACAAACCAGTGCAAGTTTAATCCCCCCGTTTGGCCATAGATTTTGCCAAATTTTTATTTGGCAAATGCCTGTTTGTTTATAGATTTTATTCATATTTTGACAAATTTTCAAATGCCAAAACCCAAATTTCAAAACCAGTTCAAGGGTTGTTTTTGGCCCAAAATATTACCGCTTGGATTTTAAAAAAAAAATTAAAAATTACCATAAACTTTTGTATTTTATAAAAAAATCCACTTTCTGTTATTATGACCCAACTAATTTATATTTACCCACTTTTTCTTCATTAAACTCACTCGGATTTGCCCTTCTCTATAAATAGAAGAAAACCTTCACCAAAGTTGTTGTGCCAATCCGTGGTAATCCACGACAAAGATAAAATTTAAAGGCAATTTGCTAAAATATGCTAATATTTGTATAAATTTTCTTCAGATTTGTTTCGCTTGTTTTGTATGAATTTTCTTTAGAGTTGTTAAGTATTTTTGATAAATTTTAAAACAAACACACTTAAAGTCTGAGATCTGAATGATTAAGATTCAGACCTCCATTAAATGCAAACAAATGAGGCCTAAGTCACATTTCATATTTTTTTTTTAAAAAATAGTGAGATATATAGAATTATGTCCAAAAAGATTTTCATCTTCAAATCATACTTCACCCAAATCAAATTTTTTAAAACAAATTTGAGAATATATGTCCAAACGCTCAAAATTTGAATGAAAAAAGAGAAAAAAAATAAAATAGAATAAAAAATAAATACGGTAGTCTGCGAAATAGAATATCAAAACCCAAACTCAACTCTCCCGCTTATAAACCCCCAAACACAAAATACCCTACCATTTTCATTCCTCTCTCTTTCTGCCTCCATTTCTCTCTCCCAAAACCCTAATTTCCTTTTTCTCTAAAACCCTACAGCAGCTATGGAGTTTTGGGGTAACTCTCTTTCCGTCTCTCGTTCATGCACACACACAAAATCTATGATCTTTGATCATTTTTTCTTTGATCGTTTAATTTGTGCATTTTCATTTATTTATGTTTTTTTTGCTGTTAATGTTTTATGTGATTTTGGTAACAGAAATGTTGAGATTAGTACAAATAGATGTATATTGTTTGCTAGCTCGTGACCAAGTTTGCTTTGTCTTCTTTCTTGCGATTTATATTCTTATGGTTCTTTTATTTTCACCTATTACTTTGATACAATGAAATAAAAAATGTAGGAGTTAAAAGTTATGATTTTCTGTTTCTTTTTCCATGTGTAATAAGTGGGGCATAGCTTATTACACATGGAAGTGTAGCTTATTACACATGGAAGTGTAGGTATGATTTTGTTAAGTGTTTTTAGGATATCACTTTGCGTTGCTAACAACAAAAACAACTTTACACTCTCAATGTAATTTAACATGTTGTAGCGGGTTGTTCACCATATTTTCCAGTTACTTTGTTGTGGAAATATTTTTTCATATTATCAGCGCACGAAAGTTAAATTCTTAACTACAAGCCTAAGTTAGCTTCTTTTATGCTTAACATAGATTAGTTATGTTTGTTTCTAGAGAAGCACATGTTAGGTGGTGAAAAGTGGAAAAAGCTGTCGGGCACTTGGTAGAGGTGTTTGAGGGGTGGTTTTACCATACAAAGAAAAAGTTTGTTTTTTCAGGGAATATCTATCTGTTTGGGATTTATGTGTTTTAACTACTACAGTACTACTCAAAGTACCAATTTCCTCCTATCTTGTGTTATGTTTTTGGTATTCTTTTATTAGAACATGTTGAATTTATTATTCGTTTTGAAATTCCAGAACTTTCAATTTTCTAAATTTACTTTCGACCTATGTGGTTAGGTGCTGAAGTGAAAAGTGGAGAGCCTTTAACTGTACAGCCTGGAGATGGGATGGTTTTGCATCTTTCACAGGTTATATAATTTGCTGCAATTTGATAAGCTTAGTTATTTGCAGTAGTCTTTGTCTTATTTTCATTGCCCTTTTATTTATCTATAGGCATCTCTCGGTGAGTTGAAGAAGGATAAAGTACAAAGTGTCTGCTTGTCCGTGAACATTGATGGCAAGAAACTTGTCCTTGGGACACTAAGCTCGGATAAGGTGCCTCAGCAGCAGTTTGACCTGGTCTTTGATAGAGACTTTGAATTATCACACAACTGGAAAAATGGCAGCGTCTACTTTTTTGGATACAAGGCCACTAACCCGTTTGAGGAATATCCTTTTCATTTGTCCGTTAACTTCTCTTTCCTTTATACATTTATTTCTCTCTTCAATCAGATTTTTTCTGCTTAGTTTGTTTCCTTGACCTAACTTCTCTGCCGCACGGAAGAGGATGATGAAGACGATGAAGAAGGTAAATGTTAATTTTCTATTGTTTGTACATCTTTATTGTTCTGTGATTAGTTATTGTCTGACTGATGTACTGTTTATGCGTTCAGAGTCTGATGAGGACATCCCCCTCACTATTGCAAACAATGGTAAGGAAACTGCAATTTACCAGGATATTATGTCGATTTAAAAAATGCAACATACCTTTTAATTTTCTAATATTATTGTCTACTTGGTTAACTAACTTTAGGAAAACCTGAGGCTAAGGTTAAGGAGGCAGAGAAGTCTAATGCTGCAAAGGATTCTGCTTCAGGTAAGCAGAAGGTGAAGATTGTGGAACCTAGTAAGGCAGATGATGAAGAGAGCACTGATGAAGATGAAATGTCTGAGGATGAAGATTCTGACACGGGAGAGGTATGCTCAGTGTTAAAAAGTACTTTCAGTATCTTTGTAGTATCTGTTAGGGTCTCCAGTCCAGTGCAGGGACAAAAAATTGGTAATACTTGTTTAAGCTTGATCGGCTATTTCCCTGAGATGTTGAATTGGCCCTTTAGTTTGAGGTGTTTGACAGCTTTTAAGGATCGTTTTCTGGTGATGTGGGAGTGGGTTTCTTGTAGTGGTGTTTCGGGCTAATTTTATAAATGCTTTAATGGTTTTGAAGTTATATTGAATGACCGAACAGTTATCTCTTTTGCTCAGAACTATACTGTGGTTAAGGGATTGCAAAATCCAAATGTAAAGTGTTGCTTTTATATAGTTTTACGGCTTTGAATTTCTGTTGTCTTGGTGTAAATTATTGAATACAGCTTTGAGAATTTTATGCTTTGTTTCCTGTGGAAATTTGCATTAAATACCTTTGTATCTTCAGGGTGAAGATGAGAGCGATGAGGATGGTGAGTCTGATGAGAGTGAGGAGGAGAAACCAAAGAAGGTAGCTTACTTTTCGGTCTTCCTTTCAATTTTCTCAAAAAATTTGGAGAAGGATGACTTGTTGACGTTATGTGGTTCCATCATTCTGTTTTAGGCTGAACCTGGCAAAAAGAGGAAGGCAGATTCGGCTACAAAAACACCTATCCCCGATAAGAAGGCAAAATTTGTAACTCCTCAAAAAACTGGTTAGTCTTCTCCTTTCTGTTTGGTGTACTACTGAGGCGTAGTTGTGTTGTCCTTTTTGGATTAGTGCTTTCTGTGAAGTATATGCTGCCTATTATTTGGAGGGTGTGGTATTATTATCCTTTCTGATCGGCATCAGGTAGTTGTACCAGGAAATTAAAATTGACTGTTGATGAGGATAACTTGACCGCTGTACTCGAAACCAAAAATAAGGAATTTCCTGCTTGCAAACAAATGGTTCAGTTTTGTAGCATAACTAATAACTAGTAAAGTTCATGTAGGAGTAGCCTATTCTTTTACTACTTAGTTTTGCGTGATTTGCTCGATTGTGTAGCATAACTTTGACATTTTGTACAGAGAGTATATGATTTTTGACTACTTTATTTTGGGTGATTAGATGGCAAAAAAGGTAGCGGCCATGTTGCGACCCCTCACCCCTCAAAACAGGCTGGTAAATCTCCTGCAAACAAGAACCAGCAGACTCCAAAATCAGGCGGCTCTCATCTCTGCAAGACATGCAACAAGTATATTTTAATGCGAAGTAATTATACTAAGTTTTTATAGGTGCATTAGGATGTTTGGTGTATTCATGTATTATTATCTTGCAGGGGTTTTGGTTCTGAAAATGCTCTGGAATCTCACTCGAAAGCTAAGCACAGTGCTGCAAAGTAAGCAGGCAGAGAGTTCTTGTTTGGTTTTGTCAACTTTGATCAGAAGAGAGCTTTTAGTTTTTTTTTTTCTCGTCCGTTCCCTAATGTAAAGGCAAGTGTTTGACTCCTTCAGTTACATGATATTGCTATTCTGAAATCTGAACTATCTCTCTGGGATATTTCTGAGGCCAAAATATCTGTTTTGATCGTAGACTGTTATGTTCGATGAGATTTGGATTAATTTAAAGAAATGCTTTGATGTATGTTCTTCACGGTTCTTGTTTTGCTCTATGGCTTATTAATGTCAGTTTCTATAATAGCTGAAATACTAAGACCCCGTTTGGCCACGAGTTTTTCCAAAATAAATTTGGGATTTATTTTTAAAACTTATGTTTGGCCATAAATTTTGCTCGTATTTTGGCCAAATCCCAAATTTTGAATCTCAAAATCAGCTATTGATACCAAAATTTAGCAACTTGAGAATTATATACATGTTTTTTCAAAATAAAGTTGGAAAATATGTTTTGAAAACGTATGTCCAAACATATTTTCATCTTCAAACTAAATTTTACCCAAGTCAGATTTTTCAAAATAAATTTGGGATCTATGGCCAAACGCTAGCTAAAATGACCTCTTAAACTTGACAATATTCTTTATTTAGAGACAGGGGTGGCAAAATGGTTCAAAAAAAAAAATTACCACCCATATTATCCACTAAAAAATGGGTTGGATAATGAACTTTTTAAAAACGGGTCAAATATGGATAAGAACGATATTATCCATTTATAAAATGGATAACCAATGAGTAACCAATGGGTCTAACTTTTACATTTGTAAAGTCTCAAATTGGAGGTTTCTCAAGTTAGAGAGACTAAGAGGGTGTTTGGCTAAGCTTATAAGCTGGTCAAACTGGCTTATAAGCACTTTTTGGCTTATCTACGCGTTTGGTAAAATTAAAAGTGCTTATAAGTTAAGTGCTTATAAGCCAAAAATAAGCCAAAAGCCATAAGTTGGTCTCCCCCAACTTATCAAATTTCAGCTTATAAGCACTTTAGGTTTGACCAAAATATTTATTATTCTATCCCTAAAATACTTCTTTTTAAAACAAAACTCTTTGTATACCCATTTTTTTAGCTGCTTATTATTAATTTCAGCACTTTTATCCAAACACGTAACTGCTTATTTTTTAAATCAGATTCAGCACTTAAAAGTGCTTTTCAGCACCTATGCTTATCAGCTACTCTAAATCAGCTAAGCCAAACGGGCTCTAAGATTCTCCCAAAAGTGATTATATACAAGAAGTCATGGATAATATGGGTAACCCATATTATCCGCCCCTGTACGTTGGTGGTTGGACATAGATATTGGGGTTGTTTGGCAGTTGTTGAGGAAGAAGAGGAAGGTTTGCCATGTTCAAGGGGCGATGGTTGCTAGGGATTTGGATTAATCGATATCTCCTTCGGTTGGTTAGTGTGATTCTTGGCATTTCAGGGGATGTTAGTAGTACTTAAATTGATAGGAGTTGGAGAATAGGGAATGATTGCATCTACATGCATGCAATTTAGGGGGTTTAGCGTGTAGGATTTATTTGAAGATTTTGAAGATTTTGCATGAGAAGTTTTGTCCACATGTCACATGCATGCTTCCATTTGTTTACCTTCCAGCATAACAGTGGACAAGTGTGGGTCATTTTGTGAAGTGGTTTTGTCTTTTGTGAATAGGTTATGGGAGCTAGTGGAATTATCTTGTTTAGGGGGTATTTTAATGTAATAATATCAGAAGATGAAGGGATTAATTCATTTGTTTCTGATAGGTTTCCTGTAATCATTTGGTTAGGCGTGTCAATAGTAGGACCATTAGGGTTAATAGAATTTTTAGCTAGTTTTGTCTTTTCTAGGTCTTCTAGATGAGCATGCACGTTAATATTGTTATTATTTTTTAATAACAAGTTTTTTTGAAGAGAATGGTTTTCTAAAACAGTGTGCTCCTCACTCAAAGTAGAGAAGCGATTTTTTTGATCCATGTTAGCTAAATTATTTCCCATTATTGTATTGGTGGATTTAGCCAGTCGAGAATTATTCTGTATTGAAGACATGGAAGAATTATCCTTATGGACAAATTTCAGCTTTTGAGTGTGAATATACTTACCTGTCGCAGCATTAAAGATTTTTATCTATACCTGCATCTGCAGTGTTCTCTTTGTCTTCCTTTGAGATTTTTTTCTGCATTCTTTTTGGTTTTTGAAAGGACACTGTGTGCCAGCCTTCTTCATTCCTTGCCTTCTCCTGGTGTTCTTCTACTGTCACTTCATTATTACTTTTTGCTTGGACTGTTGGTATTCCAGCCCTAGGGCAAAGGTTTATTGTGTGCCCTAATAATGCACAAAGCTTGCATAGAATTTTCCCCCCTTCATATTCGATTAGTTGCTTGTATTTTTCAATTTGAATAGATTTTGCAACTGGTTTGTCCATGGGTAATTCCACGCTGAGTCGAGCATAGCGAACTCTTAGGGTAGAAGAGGTACAAGCATCTATTTTAAGAAGTCTTACCAATCGAGTTCCCAATTTTTTGAAGAATGATTCCATCATAAAACTCGGTAGGTAAATTTGGTAGACGAATCCAAATAGCCGTATGGATTTGTTTGGCATTAGATGCTACGAAATTTGGTTCTCACCTTTGACATGAAAGAAAATGGCCAAAGATAAACCACGAACCATTTTGCAGAACTGAGATCATACTTTCTTGATTTTGAAATTTAGCAATGAAGTAACCTGAACCTAAATCTATTAGAGGAAAATTTTCAGACTCTAATCGAATATGAATGGGAGGTATGTGTCCATTTCCGAGAACCAGTTTGATTTCATGCCGGGACGGTCGACCACTGAGGCCATTCATATTGTGAGGAGACTGGTGGAGCAGTTTAGGGCAGTGAAGAAGGATTTTCACTTGGTGTTCATTGACCTGGAGAAGGCCCATGACAAAGTCCCCAGAAAGGTTCTATGGAGATGTTTGGAGGCTAGAGGAGTGCCTGTAGCGTATATTAGAGTGATTCGGGATATGTATGATGGAGCTAAGACACGGGTTAGGACAGCAGGAGGAGACTCGGATTACTTTCCGGTTGAGATGGGGTTGCATCTGGGATCGACACTTAGCCCGTTTTTGTTTTCCCTGGCGATGGATTCTTTGACACGTCACATTCAAGGGGAGGTGCTTTGGTGCTTGTTATTTGTCGATGACATAGTACTGATTGATGAGATGCGAGGTGGCATTAACGAGAGGCTGGAGGTATGGAGACATACCCTGGAGTCTAAGGGTTTCAAGTTGAGCAGGACCAAGACAGAATACTTGGAGTGTAAGTTCAGCGGTGTAACCCAGGAGGCGGACGGGGATGTGGAACTCGATAAGCAAGTCATTTCCAGGAGAGAGAGAGTTTCAAGTATCTGGGATCTATAATTCAGAAGGATGGGGAAATAGATGAGGATGTCACACACCCGTATCGGAGCAGGGCGGATGAAGTGGAGGCTCGCTTCCGGTGTCTTGTGTGATAAGAATGTGCCGTTGAGACTTAAGGGTAATTGCTACAAGGTAGTGGTTAGACCGACTATGTTGTATGGAGCAGAGTGTTGGCCAGTCAAAAACTCCCATCTCCAGCAGATAAAGGTAGCAGAAATTAGGATGTTGAGATGGATGTGTGGGCATACTAGGTTGGGTAGAATTAGGAATGAAGTTATTCGAGATAAGGTGGGAGTGGCTCCTGTGGAGGCAAAGATGTGTGAGGCAAGGTTGAGATGGTTCGGGCATGTTAAGAGGAGAAGCGCAGATGCCCCTGTTAAGAGAAGTGAGAGGTTGGCCTTAGGAGGTGAGAGGAGGGGTAGAGGTAGGCCAAAAAAGTCTTGGGGAGAGGTGATCAGGCGGGACGTGGCGCAACTTGAGCTAACCGAGGACATGACTCTAGATAGAAGGGTGTGGAGGTTGAAGAACAGGGTAGAAGGTTAGTAGGTAGTCGTGCGTCTCCCATTGTCTTCTCTAGCTCGATAGTATTAGCACTAGTACGGTACCCTTTTTTCCTTAGTTTGCTATATTCGCATGTCTCGTTTCGTTGTTACTTGCCATTGGTATTTCCGTATTTTGCTAGCAGTACTTCGTCCATATTATCGTCTGCTGCCTTGGAATTAGTTTTCTATATATGTTATCTTGCTACTACTTGTTATCAGTACCCCTTTCATATTATCTGTTGCTATCTTTGATATAGTTTCTAATTATTGTCTTGCTATCAGGGCTTCTCTCACCTTCTTTAGCAGAGGGTCTATCGGAAACAGTCTCTCTGCCCTTCCAGGGTAGGGGTAAGGCTGCGTACATCCTACCCTCCCCAGACCCACTTGTGGGACCACACTGGGTTATTGTTGTTGTTGTTGTTGTTGTTGTGCTTTCCAAAGCTCTTGGACTTTTTTCTTAAGGATTTGATGGAGTATTTTTTTCCCTTGTCACTTAATTATGATGGAGTGTTTCCAGGGCATGTACACCAGATTTTTATCCTCCTGTGACAGAGAAATTTTCTTTTCTTCAAAGGTTGATTCAAGGGTTGTCAACGAGGGAGAGATATCGAAGGAGTTGAGCATGGGTGTGGTGAGATCAGTAATGATATCCATCCCCCCTCCCCCCCCCCCCTTAATTAATTTATCCTTAAAAGAGGCTTGTGGATTACTAGGCAATCGGGCAGTGCAATCATTGATAATATCTGGTGGTTTGGGTGGAATTAATGCCATTTTTGCATCAGTATCCATACTAGATGGGGGATGTGAAAAGTGATTTTGGAAGATTAGAGGTTTTTTAGAAAGATGCTAGGAGTTTCTCTCTTCTAAATAAGTGTACAAGATTGGCGAACAAAAGGCTTCACACGTATGGTTTGGTCCTATACTTTGACAATTTTTCTTTTGTTATTGTGATAGCTGCTGAAAGTTTTTGTTTGTATATAATATACTAGTATTCGAGCCAAAATAAGTCTTGCCAATGTAAATAATATTGTTAGTTGTTACACGATGAGTTTTAGAAATTATTATGTAAGGATTGTATATTTTAAGAATACTTTTATCTTTTCTTATATTTTTATTCAAATTCCAGACGATCTACATCCTTATAATCTTTTGTACGAGAAGAGAACACGGGTGCTGGTTTGCCCGAGAGGTTAAGGGGGAAGACTTAAGATCTTCTGCACATAAGTGCGCATGGGTTCGAACCCCATAGCCAGCAGCACACCATTTTTAGTTTTTCA